GTTTTAAAATATAAAGTTAGGTTTCATCATTCATCATCAATACAGCCTGCTTCAGCAGAACAAGCTTAACTTTAAGCATGTGAGTAGTCCCATGTGCTTAAAATTAAACATTTTATGTAAGGTCCCAGGTAAGGAAACTCAAATCAATGGATCCAAGTCCAGATTGTACTGGTCATAATTACTTTAGAAAGCAGAACCTTGAAAGAGTTTATGGATTAAAAACCATAAAAGTTGGGTATAAAGAATAAAAGCCATGATCACGGTTGGATAATCCTAAAAAATAGAAAAATATTCAACTGTTTTCCTTAAGACATTTAAATGGGGTGGGATAGCTCAGTGGTTTGAGCATTGGCCTGCTAAACCCAGGGGTGAGTGTTCAATCCTTGAGGGGGCTACTTAGGGATCTGGGCCAAAATCAGTACTTGGTCCTGCTAGTGAAGGCAGGGGGCTGGACTTGATGACCTTTCAGGGTCCCTTCCAGCTCCATGAGATAGGTATATATATATAACAACACTGGATAATATATATTGCATAATGGAGAAGTTCATAACACTGGAATTTGAGTAAGATAACATATAAACCTTCTCTGCACCAAGAAGGTACAGTACTCATGATGCCCTCAAATGAGACACGACCAATTCACTTCCTTCATAGAACATTGTTATTTAGCACAATCTCTCAAATGTTGGTATGGAACTAAGATTCCAACTAGGAATAGGGAGTAGAGGAACAAGCTTTAGCACTTACAGCTCCATAGTTCACCGATATCTTGAGGTGGAGGCACAAAGTTCAGAGGCTGATCAATTTTTAAACAGTTTATTTGGCAACATTTACCACTGCCAGCAACATCCTAGAAAAAGAAAAACAAACAGCCCCTCTCCTTATACACTACTGTCCAGAATATTAGAAGACCTTTAGAGCATTAGAATGGACCTTTAAGAGACTTTCTAAAAATATCTTGGAAAAATCCTCTCTCTTTTCCTAGTCATAACAAAAATCATAAAGAAAGGAGTCAAGTGAAAGAGTGTTAGATAATAATCCCAGTTGTATTAGTCTCTTCATTTTTCTAATCTCTTACATGCCTTGTTACAACCATAGAGGGAAATGTTTAAATGCAAAAGAATTTTACTAGCATCGTGCGTGTTAAAGATCCAACAGTAGCTTTGATACTTTGCCTTTTGACTGAGAACACATGTGTGGTTGAACAACCACAGAGTCAAAGTCATTTACCGTTAACACAAATTTCTTCTTCCGGTGAGATAGACTAGAGTAGATACACAGACAAGAGTGGGTACTATTGAAAACTCAACACCTGTTCCTTCATTGCGACTCTGGTAACAGGGTAGATCTTAAACTAAAAACTGTACAGGAAGATACCACAGTTATTGGAGTGGTGAATGTAGAGTTTTCATTTATGCCCATTGTGGCTAGAGAGACCAGACTTGGTTTCATAGGCTTCCATAGGATTCATGCAACCAGTCAAGTAACCAGCTGGCCTCTGGATAATCTCCTTTTGTCTGCTCATATTAAGATCACCACCACCACTCCCTTGACTGGGATTTACATCTAGATGGTATTCAGGGTTGATGAAATCCTCATTTCTGTTCTTCTTTATTAATTGCCACACCTGCTGTTTGTATGTTTTTATACTTCACTTTAATAATATCAGTAAATTATCCTCTCTCCTTAATTCCCCATTGAATATAATCCATAAAACCCCACCACCATTTTAGAGCCAAATACAGGGAATTTGGTCCTTAGTCTCCAAATAATCTGTATCTGAAATTATTAAAAATGTCTTATCCGAGCACATAATGGTACCCAAATCTCAAGTACCATACCCAGGCCTGAATAACATTTTCCTTCAGCTACACACAATATTCAGATAAGCTGGATGACCACAAACCAAAAAGTCAGATCCAAATCATCGAGTCTCTCTATAATGGACGAAATCTGAAGAGTCCAAAATGTGAGCAGGCTCTGATTTGGACCTTTATTTTTAACCCCCTATTTTGGGAATGTTTTTTCCATGGCTTTGTATTAGCCTATTAAAGTATTATGAAGGTTGGTTTCACTTTCACTTAAATTCGATTTAGTTGTCACACAAGGTTTTAGTCGCGTGTTTGAGTATAAACTTACCCAGGTGCATTTTCTGCCTTCATGCAAAATCTAAGGAAATGGCTATGTTCCACCAAGTCCAATACACTGACCACAGGACGGAAACATTCCTCCTCAGAATGACATAGTGGAAGTCATGCCCCCAGAAGGTCAGGAAGCAGTCTACTCTACTTACTCTCAAACACTCACATGTGTGATCAGACCACACTTCCATTAGAGTAGCAGCAAGATTAGGCAAGGAGGGTACGAAAGGAAGGGAGAAAAATTATTGTGAGTCTGTCAAACTCTGGTTTTCTGCAATTTGAGACCGATCTCTTAGTAATAAAAATAAAAATCAGTCTAGAGTAGTTTATTTTCTTAAAATCTTTAACAGAGTTACTTGATTTTTTTTATAGCCTTTTAAAAATGAGCCCTGCTTGCTTAAAACAAACAAACAAAAAAACCACCATATCCAGCAGTTTGACATCTCACCTGAAAAAGTTATTTTGCACAATACAGCTGAGTGAAAGTACTGTTTCCAACACACGGAATGATTTCTTTAGTGAGTGGGGCCTGAAGCAGCAGAGAAAGCTGTTTTTAATTTCAATTTAGAAGGGATCAGATTAATCAAAACAATTTAGCTGTTCAAGATGGCTGTACACCAACTGAATTAAACTTTGGATGTTGCATCTGCTGCAAGTTTTCACTGAGCCACCATCCTCAGCCTGATGCTAATCTTTTCCTTTGGTCACTAAGACCCACAGTCTGTCTTGCTGAAAGTAGGAAAGTAAAACAAGGTCCCGGTTAAGTAGCAAATAATAGCATAAAAAGACAACAAGGTACTGTGGCAGATACCATGCCTGTATTTCAGAAGAGATGATACAGTCACTGTATTTCCCACGTCACCACAAAACTTGGCTGACACTTTCTTTTACAGAGCTCTCTTTCTATCTTGTATGAAGAACTGACAACAGTGAATGCAATGAGACTCCACAAGCCAATGCAAGAAAGGCAATTGCCCTTCGTAATTTTCTGGGTCCTTTACAAGTTGAATGAGAAACCTGCCCTAAAGTGACTCCCTCCATCTCTGCCAGTGCCACATAGGAATCAAAAGAACCTCATGATTAACAGTATTACAGACAGTGTCACGCTGGATGTTTGATCTCTGCCCATTGCCCTGAAGAGCCAATGAAAGTAGTGCTGCCTCCATGCCACAGGCAGCGCTGAAACCTGATTGATAAGAATCCAAAATAATTTTGCTGCATTTAGCCTGCTACCACCTTCTCAATGACCTCACCTTGTAGAGAAAAAGGTCAGAGTCTGCAAAAAAGGATTTTTTTAAAATCCCAATCTAAAGGTTTTTTAAGGTTTCAGGCACCTTGCTCTCTCTATAAAGGATTCAGGCATTCCCCATTAATTTTCACTGATCACAAGTGGCATGAATCCATCTCAAAGGTGGCTGGCTGAATACTCCTAGTGAAGCCAGAACCTCGGATTGTGAAAATGGCTGTACATTAGGGAAAGATGAGTTTGCTCCTTGGTCTTTGCCACTACTTCTATTATGCCAAATACATTGATTTATACTGACAACTCCTTGCACTGAGAAACATTGGTCTGAAATCTCACGAAGACGGTGCAGCTGAATGATAGCCCAAACCCTAGAACAGTTCTGCTGTAGGAGATTGTGCAGATGATAAGATTGGAACTGAGAGTTCTATCACATCCATGGAATAGGAGAGCTAAACCTCTCTGTGATTCATATGGTCACAGTCAGATCTTCTGCCAATGATGCTCTCTCCCCTCTCCTACTTCATCCCTTGTAGGTCATTTGTTCACCATGACAACCAGAGCAGACAATGACAGAGGTATACTCACACCAAGGAACATATCCGCAGTACGTATTCGTGAATGAGTCGACCCAAAAGCCGTTTGAGATCATGACATAAGTCAGTGAATATCAGAGTCAATATCTGCATATATTAAATCCCCCAAGGCAATTAGCTTTGGTGACCACAGCGCTAACTGCAAAAGTAACTCAGTCAGCTCAAGTGCGAACTCTGTATGACACTCAGTGAGTAGTACACTTTTGGTCTCGTTGTTTCAGTGGGATTACTTGTATAGTAAAAAACTAGTCAGAGCACGGGTGCCAGGATCTGGCCCGGATTGTAGTTTTCTATTCATACTGATCATGGGGAATAAAAGCAACAGAGGAAAAGGGCACTTCACTTGCTGCTTAACTAACACAGAAATTCAATTCATATTGCTTTTTTCCTCTTAGATGCAGGAAAGTTACTCGTATGTTTTAATCTGATAGTCATACATTGCAAGAAATAAGTATACCGAAGTCTAGCTCCTGCAAACACTCATCTGCATTGTCTTTCTGTAGTTGAGTAGTCCCATTGACTTGAATGGGACTACTCGTGGGATTAAGGGTTTGCAGGCAAGGGTCCCTACTATAGAGTCACAAAACCAGAAATAATGTTGCTAGATTTCTAGAGAACAGTGAAACCAGTGATAATTTGTGACTAATCTATCAATGTAGGATGATTTATGGCAGTAAAATAGGCTAAAATACTATATTATATCCATGCTTCTATAGCATTTAAGTTCACATGAAGTCCTCTGCTGCCTACATTCCTAGACTACTTGGTACCTGAAAATATATTCAAGCTACTGCTCAGCATAGTGCCAGCTGTCTTTTTCATTACTCTTAGTGCCACAATAGCAAATGCAACAGCTTAAACACACACACACAACCCTACCACACTGCTTAACTGGGCAGGCTACTATCCAGCAGCCTCAAAAGGGTTGAGCCAAGAAGTCCCTTTCAAGTCTAAGATCTATAGCTCTAGGACCTTAACTTTCCCCCCTGTCTTTCATCTGTTTCACCAGTTAAGACTTACCTGAGCCTCGGAATCTTTGCTTTCTTCATTGTTGTATCCATAGTAATCAGGAATTTTATCCAAATCCTGTATGTTCCCTTGTGCTCTTATACTCTTGCCTGTGTGACAAGACTGGCAAACTGGTGCATTGCCCATATCAGTTCTCCTATCAATTCCTGCAAGTGGGTTTATCCTTCACTATGGACTGTGCTCAGTGTTCCCAAAGGGCAGCTGACTTAGGCAATGCAGAAAGATGATCATCCACTCGTATGCTGTGCTCCCTTGAATACCTTCCCTCCCTCCCTCCTCTCTAGCTGGCCTGTGTCAAAGAGAACTCGAAACCCCAGCAACTGCAGACAGCGTTCAGTGACCATTTCCAATTCAGGCGCTGCCTGTCTATTTTTACACCTACTAGGCCAGCTATGCATGTAAATGGAGTTGAGGGGGGAGCTGCTTTCCAGCATACAGTCAGCCTGCCTAGCACACAGAGTTGAAGTCCTACTGTGTGAAATGCCTCTACATGTGAGGGTTATTGAATTACCCAGTTGCATGCCTTTGACTGTTTTGATTTTTTTCCTACTGCTCTCTGTCTGACTGTGTTTATACAAAGCACTAAATTTCAGAATGTTGCTAAATGTCTTGCAAGTTTCCAACACAAGAAAACCCTAATTCATTCAAATGGCATCTATTTGGTATGTAACAAAACAAAAGACAATCAAAATGTATGAGCACATTTTTCATGACCATTTATATTAATCATTCTTTTGTCATTTAAAGTTCACTCATCTATTAATCATGATGAGCTCATTTTGGATTGATTTGTATGTGGGCTATGGTTTTATAGATATTCAGTTGTAATTTAAGTAACAATTTCTGACCCTTTTGTTTATGTTAAATCTTGTCTAGACCATATTTTCATTTTTTTTTAAAATCAGAGTATAAAGATTTTCCCTCTGCCTTTGTATTCAGGGTTGTATCAGGTAGAATAACAGCTGTATTGAGCATCCTCTTTTGGAACTAGCCCACTATTCCTTAACTTTAAGAACCTCCCCAGCAGAGCTTAAAACCGGCAAAACTAACAAGGAAATAAATACAGCAGATAGCAAATGCATCTCTAAAGCCAGTGTATCAGTAAATATTGGCTTGTAGTAGAGCATGCTGTATCTTTGCTAAAACATCATCTTGAGGGATATGCATTCAATCCGTGAGTGGAACTTTGTATATGTAGCATGAACTTGGTCTGAAATTCCTCAGAAACTGAATGATGTTCCTCAAAAGCCAGAAGCATTAACCCAACATTTTTCTCTTTCAAGTTTCAAACTATTGCAGTATTAAAATGGTTCAGACAATGGTAATTCCCAGCTCCTGTTACATCTATTACAAAAATAGCAAAAAAACAGAAAACACTAAATCCTTGACTCAGACAAAGTTCATATAACCAAGGCTTGTACACGTAAAAAGAAACACACCCACACACTGACACCCACCTCCTGTTTTTGTTTTTGTTTTTTAAAAGGACACTGTCAACTTGAAATCAGGCCAACCAAAAAAAAAAATGAGTAAAAAGTAATCTCAGGTGCTCTTGAGGCTCCCATTTCTATGATGCAACAGTTACAGGCTTTATTTTGGTCTAACTTTCAGATACTTAAAAGCTGCCCACAATTAGGGGAAGAAAGAGGAAATACTGTTATGTCACATAGGTTTAAAACAGAACTTGTAGTTAGTTGAAATTGTTCAGGGAAAGTTCACTTAAGTCCTTGGGTGACAGATTTAATAGGTAGAGGGCAAGTAGAACAGTTAAGCTGTATGAAAAATTCATTTATCACATGCATCTCCAATTTATTACTTTTCAGAGTAGCAGCCGTGTTAGTCTGTATCCGCAAAAAGAACAGGAGTACTTGTGGCACCTTAGAGACTAACAAATTTATTAGAGCATCAGCACCACGTGTGGTATATATTCTGGTATCTATATAACTAGTGTGTCAAAGAAGTTCTTTACTGCAATGAACTGCCCCCTCCTATCCAGTCATACCAAATCAATAGGTCATGCTCCCTCATTTGTGACACCGAACCATTTCTTTACACAAAGATCATGTTGTCAGGAATTGAGGTTAGATCTCTTATGGTTACATTATCTGCTCTATATTGGGATATTTTAAGTACTCCAGTTGTCGGTAAATAAATTCATTTTCTCCTTCACTGAGTTACCACTACAGAGTCTCATTCATAAATATGTGCAACAAAGCCATGTGCCCGGAGGTCTTGATCCAGTAAAACACAAACACATGCTTATTTAAAGTTAAGCAGGTATTTATGTGTTTTGCTAGATTGAGACTTGAATGGAGAAAAGACACCATCTCTTTATCTTAAAGGGACACTGTCAAATTGAAATGTATTCATTTTTTAAAAAGGAGTTAGAGGTAATTTCAGGGATTACACCTTCTCATGAGTCGCCTTGTGTTAGTTGCACAAACATGCCTCTCTTTTTATAAATAACTTTTCTCTCCCTCCTGCTGTGTGGAAGACCTATACAAACAGGGGAAGCCTGCGAAGCTCTGCCAAATGCACAAATCAAGCAACATTAAAAAAAAAAAAAAATCAGAGAAACAGGTTATTGTCTCTTTCAGATCACCCTTAGCTATTAATTATAATGGCGGATAAAACATTCGCAGGCAATAGCACAACTTGCTGATGTGCTAACAAGCCATTTGCCTCAATCAGCTCAACTACACATTTTAGACGACTGTATCAGGGTCAATGACAACAGCATACAGAGGCAATGGCATCTTGTTTTAAAATCACTACTGTGCTATGTACTGTCACAAGTCCCCAGTTTTATTCAGAGCTTTAGTTTCTTCAGGCCTTCTTCCATCAGCTGGTGCAGACCCTTGTTCCTTCTTTTTGATAGGTCTCATTTCCTAACTGCATGGATGTAGTAATTCTAAGAAAAATGGTCATTAATGTATGAAAGACAACAACACTTACAGAGAAAGGAAATGGTTCTAAAATGAGCACAAAAATTGTTCCTCTCTAGTTTCATGGGACTCAAAGTCTCACTGGGACTTTGCTGTGTGAGGAGGTGACCCATTTGCATGTGCAGATCATTTCACTGAGTAAAGAACATCTGCAAAACCAAGGGATCCCAAGAGGATGTAGGCACTAAGTATTGATTTAAAAGATCTACTTGTGATGAGATGCCATAGCACATCACAGATTTTTGAAGAGGGCTGGAATTGAGAAGTGTGAAGGCTTAAATCCATTATGCTTTACTGCTGCTGGTGATTTCTGCCCAAACAGATTTGAATAAACAACCTCAGAAATAAATTTTACAGCTGTAAAAACAATTGATTTCCAAGGAACAGCTTCACATAAATGACCAATCTATTCACTGGGCAGCTGGTTAGACATTTTTTCCAGATTAAATTGCCTCATTTCCCATATTAAAAGCCCAAACACGAGAGGACCTATTTGACCAACTAGCACCTTTCCTGTCAGACATCCTTGTGAGTGCTTAATGCAGCCCCTGCCATGGTAGCTTTTCTGTTCCACTAGTTCCTAACATAAAGTGGTCAATTAATACGAGACAAACTTATAAAAAAAAGAAAAGAAAGACCAGTGCATCAGCTGGAGGGGAAACGATGGTGAATACTGAGCAGCATGCATTCCTTAGAAATAACGCTTGTAGACAGTTACAATCTGTGTAGACATCTGACAGAGCAAGGGATAAGCTTTCTGCCAGAGTCCTTTTAACAATATCACTGTTGTTTGTCAAAATGGTTCAAAGTCATTAGGGCAAATTACTCAGAAAGCAAACATTTTCATGTTTTGCCAAACTTAGTTAGGGCATGATATTCAAACAAAGTAAGTATCTTGGGATGTAGGATTCGAAGTCCTCATGGAGGGACATAGTTGCAATATCTTTGTAAGTTCCCATGCTCTTTCTGCGATTGTTGTTATTATCTGGGCTGCACTATTGTTTTTCAAATCTATCATCTAAGACGGCGGCCAACGAACCAAAAACAAAGGCCTGGTCTTCAGTTATGAAGCTCTAGAGTAGACATTAAAGTATCTTAGTCCCTGTTTCTGAATAATAAACCAGACTCTCTTCTGAATTACACCAGAGTAAATCCAGAGTAACTTGTCTGAAACCAGTGAAGCTACTCCAGATTTATACCTTGTTAGATGAAAACAGAACAGGATTCAATATCTCTGTAGCTAGCATAACACATGCATAACCAGTTTAAACAATTCACACTACATCCTCTGTAAATATTGGTTTTCTTTGTTTTTTTTTAATGAAATCACAGTGTTTGAAAATGTGTTAGGTCATTCATAGAGCCCTGTTATTACAATCTCTGTGTATGTGGCCACATATACGTATATCAATTCAGAACATGGGGGGAAAAGGACTCATGGCCTTCTGCTGAAAAACAGAGACCTCTACCACTCAGTAAGCTAAGGAAGCAGTGGAATGTGTTTGACATTCCCACCGGGAGGACACCAGGCCACATATAAATATAAGCCATTATATTATATTCTGCTGATTAGGGCTGAGATGGAAAGCAGTTGGCTAAGATCTGACCTAAGATGATGATGATGATAAAATGGGAGAAGCAACCAGAAGAATTAGCAAAGATTATATCACCATCATTCATAAAAGTACAGAATTTGTGACTCAGGTGTGCAGTATACGGGTTCTTCTGGACATGAAACTGCTGTTGGATGTCAAAGTAGTAGCTGTGGTTAAGAGCACTTTTTTCCACCTGTTCTTGGTACAAAGACTATTTTACATACAGACTTTGCTACACCTATCCATGGCTTACACCAGAGGCTACTTGGAAGCTGAAACAGGTGCAGCCTGTAGAGGCCAACATATTAAAGGGGATATAATTTTGAGGGCATATAGTGTCTATACTCCAAGAGCAGCATTGGCAGCCTGTGGATGGAATTCAAGGTGTTGGTCTTGACCTTCAAAACTCTATATTGTTCTGTAATAGGTTACCTAAGAAGCCACCTCTCTTCCAATGTGATAGCTCCAGTTGAAAGCCAGCTGAGTTGCTCAAACAGGAGCTCCCTCAATTTAATCTGCTGACAGTCACTTCTCCCTTTCGCTTACCAGAGTCTAATATTCACACATATTGCAAGGTCTATTCTCTCTATTTGGGGAGGAGTCAGGATGAATCACCG